AGTGCTGTTCTTCGTATTCATCTTCAGAGTCTTCTTCTTCTGAATCATCTTCTTCAGAACTTGATTCTTCAAATATAAGATTTCCTCCATCATTATAAATAAATTTAATTGAACTTTTCCTTTTCTTTTATTAAACTTGAAAGTCAGAAATCCTTTTCTAATATCAATGTTGGCTTTGATTTTGTTTAAGAAATCTATTTCTATGATTACTGAGTATGTTTTGGTTTCAGTGATATCAACTTCAATTTGAATTATGATTCCATTAATGTTGAAAAGTAAGTCATTAATAGCTCTAAGTGGTTGTTTTGAGACTCTATTAATATTAGATATTGATATATTTGAACTTCATTAAATTTTAATCCCATTTCTTTGATGAATGAATAAGTAGTAATATAACCAAAGGCACCAGTATCAATAATTAAATCAATTATATTCTTTTCAACTTTGGCTTTACATTGGTTAAATGTTGTTTTAAGTTTTTGTCCAAGCATTAGTCTTCTTTTTCATTTAGGTTTAAGAGCTATAGCTCGATGCATTTATTTAGATAATTGAGTTCTTTGTGACAGTGAGATCTGAATAAGTTGAATGACAGTTATATTTGCTTTTTAATATTATCTTAGTTCTAGAAAGCTTTATGCAAGTATAGAATCACTCTTTGAATTCTCTTTATTATTTCTTTATTTTCTCTTTTCTTTGATCTTTACTCTCTCACAACTCTCTCATATTATTATTTCTTTTCAAGTAAACACAATTTCTATAGAAATTGGCATAGGTTTAGATATCCCTCTTCTCTTTTAATATTTTTTTTATTAATTTATACCCTCTCCCAATCCAAATTCTTGTTTGTAAGCTAATTTAATGATTAGTGAACAAACTTATAACAATATATAATATTTAATTATATATTAATAAAATTTATAATAAATATATTTTTATTTAACAAATGAAATTGAAATTGATTGTAAATATATATAACAAAGATTAAAGATATATGCACATATAATTATATGAACTGGTAATATATTTGCTATAACAAAATTAGCAAATATTACAGAATATAATTTTTATAAAGCATGCTGATTTTGTAATCTTTATGAAGTTTATACAAATTATATTTATTATCTATTACAATATTATGATCTATTAAATTTATCATTGTGAACATATCAAAAATATCTTAAAGATATATTAATAATTAAATCATTATCATCAGAAAGTAATCAAGATGCTCAAATACAAATGCGAGATATATATATGAAATTGCTATATATTAAATTTAATTAATGGTATTATCTTTATAAAAATAAAAGGCAAAAGTATCTTATTCGAATTAAATACTATCTGATTTCCTTCTTCATTTCCTTTGGATATAATGCATTTGTTTTTTGAAGAAGTTACTCCAGCCATATACAAATATTGGAGTGAAAATTTTTTTCCAAGACACATCAAAATCTAAATACAGATATCTGTTATTATTTGGAAATTCTGTTTGGAAAGCAGTAAGTTTAGAGTTAATCAAAACTCTAAAAAAAATGCCAAGAGAATTTGGTTGTGTACCTGTAAGCATTACAAAAGTTACAAAGCTAAAGAATGGATGAATTGGAAAATATTATATTTTATACCTCTATTAAAAAATTATCTACCATCATCGTATGTTAAAAATTATTGTTTGTATTTACTTTTAATTTAATTAATTATATTAATACTAATAATTTTACTTTTAGTACCCTTGTAGGTTGGGCATCATATGTTTTAGCCATCCAAAAATAATAACTTTTGAAGATATAACCGATATACAAATGTTACTTTGTAATTTCATGGAATCATATACTAGGTAAGATTTATTATTATTGTTGTTGTTGTTATTGTTACATTAAAGATTTAAAAATCTATATTTTTTAAGGGATTATGGTCAACATCGAGATGATAGATTATCAGTCTTTACGATTACTTTTCACTATCTTCTTCACATCACTGAATTGATTCGAAAATGTGGTTCTTGTTGGACCACATGGCAATTTCCAATGGAACGTCTCATTGGAATTCTTCAACTGATGGTGAAATCACGATCAGAGCCATATCAAAATTTGGTTAACAATATTTTATTACGTGAAAAATTCAATCACATTCAATTTTTGGCTAATATACGAGACAAATATCTCTTCCTTCTAAATGAACAACATATGGATCAGAAAGAATCTTTTACAATACGGATGAAAGAGAGGAACTTTGGTGGTCATCTAATTATTATATGATGGGTAAATCAAGTCTTGAGTATCGACATGGTATCAGGAAAATTATTCTGCTTTGATTAGATTGAATGAGGTAATCTACGTCTTTATACTTAAGATTTTATTTTTAAACTTATACATGTATTCTTTGATTTAATTGTACATGTACATGTACATGTACATGTAGTCGCAAAATGATGGACAAAAATATGCACGATTACGAACAAAAGAATATATGATTGGGTCGGAAATGTCTTTGAAAAAATCTGATACGTATATCGAGAAATAATGGATGTATTGTATATAATTGATCATATCTGTTATATACTAATTACATTTAATGTTAAAAGTATGAATTACAAGTTTCAATTTCAGGTCATCAAAGAAAACATTCAACATCCGTTACCAAAATCTTTTATGGTCAAGTGCTATGGTACTTTAGTCACATTCACGACAATGCAACTGTCATGCTCGCTTATGTAAGATGGGCAAATGTTCCGGATGAAAAGAGAGAACGGCCTCTTTTTGGAATCAAAAAATTTCGTGGATTTGGACGATGCGAGTTCATTGATGTAAGAACAATAAGGAGAGTTGTTGGATTCTTTGAGATGAATGGGGATATCTATATTTTGGATAAGGGCGACAACCTTACTTTCGTATAAGACATGTGATATATTGTTTATAATCACACTTTATAATTATCGTAAATTCATTCGTTGTTATAGTCTCACGTGGAAACCTAGATATGAGTGAAAACCACATGTTTCGCGTCTCAATAAATAGTAGTCAACGGCGTGACTTGTCATGTGTAATATAGCGCATAATGATTAGGAATAGCACATCGTTTATTTTTTCCATAAGTTTTTTGTGTTCCTTATACATTCCTGGATGCATCATGGTTTTCCGTATGTATTCTGTTCGTTACATATCGATATGCATTGTGTTCGCATTACGGTAATCCCTAGTGTATTTCCAAACTAAGGTTTTTTGTTCCTTATACATCCCTGGCATACATCATGGTTTTCCGTATGTATTCTGTTCGTTACGTATGTAGTCCGTAATTTCTGACACATTCCGAGCAGAAAATTTTGCGTTCCTTACGCATCCCTGACATTCATTCTGCGAAGTTCCTGACGCGTTCATAATCATCCCGTACGACTCAGTAAATTCTATGTGCGTAACGTAATATCCCGTATGAATCACGTAAAATCCCGGACGCACTTTTCCCGTAGGGCATAAAATAGAAATCAAGATTGTATGCATGTTATAATCACGGGAAATCAAATTTAAACCAATAATACGCATCACTGCAATTTTAAAAATGAATTTGTCACTTTGGAACCCGATATCTCGACATCCAGTGATCCCATTCGAAGAAAGATATCACCATTAGATTCGTAGTTGAGGCGAAGCTGATGGTGATATCTTTGTTCGAATGGGATCACTGGATGTCGAGATATCGGGTTCCAAAGTGACAAATTCATTTTTGAAATTTCCAGCAATATATTGTAGGGGTGTGTATTTTATTATAACTTATACAGGCTCTGTAATTGATATTGTAACTTACGTGTGTTGTAACCAATGTAATGCAACCTTCATATATTAGATGTATTTTCAATAATTTACTTCTTTTTTGATTGAACCCGGACGGCAACAGTACCTTCAAAATACCTTACATAGATTATGCTAATAATCTTGGCTCTTGATAATATTACTGCCTCTGTCTTCAATTTCTTCCCTCCCTTCTTTATGACAAAATTCAAGAGCAAAAAGCTTAATTTGTTTTATAAGGCAATTGAACGAAATGCATATATCCAATATTGTTTTAATGTATGCGTTCACATTATTATTCAAATCTCAGGACCTGCATTGCGGATAATAGGTAATAATCGTGAAATCACTGTTTCGGCAAATATTGAACCTATTCAAATGTCTGTCGCAATTTTCTTTCAGGGGATCATGTAAAAACAACTATAAAATCGCCAAAAGTACAAGTTGCAAGAAAAAATATTGATCAATGGATATATCAGTCAACTTTAAATAAATCGAACACAATAGAAAAGTTAAGTCTTTTTAGAAACAAGCAAAAAATTCATGACGTGTTTATAGCACCGTTTTATGGTGTTTGATTTGGTCATCCTTCATCAATTAATAATGTGAATTCTAGGGATATGGTGAGAAATTTAATACGCGTGCTTTTCAGCGAGCTAGTACCAGGATTTGGATTCGGTAAATTGTCTGAGACCTGTAGTCAAATTCCCAAAATTGTGAAAACTGAACATCATTATTCTTTATTTTGTTATACTTTCCAATTTGTTATACTTTCCAATTTGTTATACTTTCCAATTTGTTATACTTTCCAATTTATAAATTGCCAGTATAAAGTTATAATACATTCTTCAAGATAGTCCATATATTAAAAAGAAAAAAAAACATTTGAATATAAATCTCAATGAACTCTAAACATATCATGCCTCTTGTTCTTGTTTTCTTTCTTATTAACAAAATATATTGTATTTAAAATCAATAAGTCTTCGTTAATGAAAGCATCTTCTTTGTAAATAACAATAAACAAATATGCAAAAAAAATCACCAGAAAATGGTGTATTATCGGGTAGTACCTTTCTTCCATTCTCCCATGTGATTATATGTGACATAACATGTGCATATTTCAACTATATTCTTAATATCATTATTTTAAAAAAACAACGTTTTAGCGAAAATACGGATTCATTAGTGCATTTAATAATATACGTAATCTTCAAATGCATGACTAAATTTCAATAGGTTCCGAGATATTGATTTTTTTATTGCTCGTGAATCAAACCAACAAATTAACGTTAGTATTGTTTATTTGAGCTCAAAATAACTAATAATAATTATTTTTTCGATTAAAATAATTTCCGGATAGACAATCATTTTCTCTCGTACGCAGCAAATTTTATTAGCGTTAGCACCGAACATGTATTTTCATTTTGCTGTACTTCGAATTTCAACTGCATGTACGTATCAAGTCTACAATTACGCAGTTATATATCCATTCATATTCTTCCCGAAAATCATAAGATCAATTGGCGGAGTGTAGCAGTCTGTACGAGTTCGGATGAATTCTGACAAACAATTATATATCTGTAATGCTGTACACATACGTATTTATCGATTGCTCATTGGCTTGATTTACCAATTAATATCGTAATCAAGAAATATTTGATATCAATATAGTTTAGTTCGTTAATAAAGATCGGAACGGATAAATACGCGAAAAATTATAAAATGAAAGCTTTGGCAATGATGAATTTACTAACTACTCGACTTTTAACAGATTTCGGTAGTTTTTTGTTAGTTCATTATTAAATTAGAAACGATAATTTAAAAATCAATCAATTTAAATAAAATTTGGGCACCTCATTTCAAAAACATCAAATCGGATAAGAGAAAAAACTTCAAGAAGAATATTTAAAATAAAATTCACACAATATAATTTTAAATACTCGAAATAACAATAATAATAATAAAACAATAATAATAATTATAATAATGGCTTCGAATAACCCGGATAAGATAATAACATCACCTGCCGAAGCACACGTATCAAATCGTGAAGAATCAACTACTATCTCAAATAATGACAAACATTTATCAAACACACACTCAGAAGAAGGAACAATTATTTCGTCGACGAATCAAACCCCAAATAAAAAATTAGATGCTAAACGATCTTCGGAAATGACAAATTTGACGATCCCGATGTCGGATGCTGAAACAGTTTCTAATAGCGGTAGTGACATTGAAAAAGCAGCACCAATCAGTGATGTAGTAGTAGATACTCCACCGCCGGTGTATTTGAAAGGAATAGAACTATCTTTGATTATAATTGGGTAAATATCAATTCAATGATATTTTTATGCCTTTTATATCTTTTTCTGATTACGTTGCGTTGTCATTGTTATTAGATTGGGATTTGGGGTGTTTTTATCTGCTCTTGATCAAACAATCGTCGCAACTGCTTTACCACAAATCGCTTCGGATTTTAACGCATTGAATCAAATCGCTTGGGTTGGAACTGCTTATCTCTTGACAACGGTAATTTATATTTTGTCTGACGGGCCAAGTGCAATAGAAGCAGTGTAAATTGTACTATAAAATCTATTGCATTCAATATATGTGTAGGTAAATAGTTAAAGTAAATTTATTTAATTTTTAGACTGCATTTCAACCAACATATGGTAAAATATCGGATATTTTCGGACGAAAAGCGACATTTCTCTTTGCAATAGGCGTGTTCGAATTAGGAAGTCTATTATGTGCAATTGCTCAAAACATTACTTCTATGATTATATTTCGTGCAATCGCTGGTATGGGTGGCGGTGGTATTCTAAGTTTGGTAATGATTATTATATCAGATATTGTTCCACTCGAAGATCGTGGTAAATACCAAGGACTTATCGGTGCAGCATTTGGAATTGCTTCCCTTATTGGTCCTCTCTTGGGTGGTGCTTTTACCGATCACGTAACTTGGAGATGGTGCTTCTTTATTAATTTACCATTTGGAGCTATCACAACATTCGTCGTCATTAAATATCTGAATCTTCCAAAACCAAAAGGTTCATTAATCACCAAGGTTAAGCGTCTCGATTGGTGGGGTACTCTGATTGTAATTTCCGCTACTATTGCTTTACTTTTGCCACTTAACTGGGGTGGAGATAAATATGAATGGAAGAGTCCAATTATTATCGTATTACTTATAGTTGGTGCTTTCTTATTTGTTCTTTTTGGATATGTGGAAGGTTGGCTTGCTATCGAGCCAGTTGCTCCTGGTCGTCTCTTTAAAGATCGTGCTCTTCTTGCATGTTTTAGCGTAAACTTTTTCCAAGGCATGGCATTTTTTTCGTGGGTTTATTATATACCACTTTACTTTCAAGTCGTAAAAGGTGAATCGGCCACAATTTCTGGATTGGAATTACTACCATTCATTTTGGGTGTTGTGGTATCGTCAATTAGCACAGGACAAACGATCTCACGAAAAGCTAATATCCGTAAACAACTTTTTGCGGTTCTTGGTGCAGTATTGATCATTGTTGGTGCTGGACTCACGAGTCTTTTGAATGAACATTCTAATCGTGGGAAACAGACTGGATTCCTTTTGATTCCGGGGATTGGCATTGGTTTTATTATGCAAACAACATTGTTGTTCTGCCATGCTGCAGTTGATTATAAAGATGTTGCGGCTGTCACCTCAATGCTAAACTTTTTCCGATCAAGTAAGTATCATTGATTACATATATTCGTATTTCAGATATTCTTTTCTAATTAAATTTAATTTGTAATTTTAAAGTCGGCGCAGTATTTGGCGTAGCAATTGTTGGAACAATCTTCAATAACGAACTTAACAAGATGATCGAAGCTATTAATCTTGATATCAGCGTAGAAGCCGTAAAAAATTCCTCGACATACGTCAAAAGTTTACCACCGGATTTACGAGAATCCGTAATTCATGCATACGTTGAAGCACTACAAGTCTGTTATCGTGCCATAATACCTCTCGGAGTTTTATGTTTTTTAAGCGCGTTATTTATTGGCAAGAATAAAATAAACCATCGGCAGTCGAGAACGAGAATGATGGCAATCGAATGATTGTGTTTAATAAGAACGATAGATTTAGTGGTTCACAATGTTTTTTAATTGATATTTATTTAATATTGCGCTGATAGCAAAAAGCCGTAATTACAATACTGATCTAGATCAAAGATGCTTCATTTCTATAAACGCGCGTGGATTGATGTTTCCAAATTCAGGTCCGATAGCACATTGGTAAATCAGGAGAATTTAAGCATGGCACGATATAACGATAATTTCTATACTATTTTAACGCTAAAGCTAAAAAATTTAGAAAACGTCAGATCATGTGTTTTTAATTAACAAATCCCATTAACATTAATAAAAAAATTTTCTCTATAAAACTACCCGTTACCTGTTAATTTTTAGTTAAATCAGTGTTAGCCATTGACATAGGAATCCCGAATGTTGAAATTTCAATTTTGAAACAATGGCTAACACTCTGATTTAACTAAAAATTGATAGAGAACATTTCTTCCAGGTTAAAACTACGTATATCGATTTTCCGTTGCCAAATACTTTGGCATCAATTTATTTTTATAAAATATATTAACGTTAAATACTACAGATACATGATCCCCACATTTATTGTTACTATTTACACGAAAAACATAGCTCCAAAAAGAGTTTCTTTTTTCGTGATTTGTTCGAATGAATAAATTAAATATCGATATGAATTTCATATGAATAAAAAATGCTTTTAATGAAGACAAGTTCTTCGCGAAATTTAGAAAAAAATAATTAATTAACTATAATCTATATAGAATAAAATAAAAAAAGTATAATTGTTCCAACTTAAAGCTGTCGTTGTGTCTTAAAGTCTTAAAATAAAAAATCTAAAAATTAATAATTGTCCCAACCTAAAGTTGTCATTGTCTTTTTAAAAAAGTCCATCCGAAAATATTATTCAAAGACCATCACCGACCCCGTATACTTCTTCACTCTATTTCGCCCAATAAATAATGTACACAAGAAACATAATCCACCGAAAATTATCACAATTTTAAAGGCGTAATCAAGCGCTTCGACGTATGCGTGTTTGACTAGTCCTCGCGTGGGTTCTTGGAGCTGCGAGACAAATGTCGCAGATTGTTTGACGGCTGCGATTGAAACATCGATGTTGAGGTCTTCTATATTAGAGGTCAGTTGATTATTAAATATTGTTCCAGCAATGGCGATTCCAAACACAGCTCCAACTATAAATAAATCGAAAATGTTAGAGATAAGCATATTTTTTTAGGAATGTAAAATAAATGAACTGAATTTACTTACTTGATCGGAAAAAGTTTAATATAGAAGTAATTGAAGCGACATCAACATACTCAACGGCAGATTGACCAAATAGTAAAGTTGTTTGCATAATTAATCCAACACCGACACCAGGAACCAATATGTATCCAATTTGTTTTCCGCGGTTAGAATCTTCAGTTAAGAGACTAGTAAGAGCAACGCCAACTGTCACACATATGGCACCAACGATACAAATCATTTGTTGTGAGATTTTATCGGTTCGCGCAATAAGTTGTCCTGATACGATAGCAGCAAGAACTACGCCCATAATATATGGTAAAAGTTCCAATCCTGAAGAAGTGGCTGATTCACCTTTGACAACCTGGAAATAAAGTGGGATGTAATATATCATTGCAAAGAAGGCCATACCCTGGAAGAAATTAGTTCCGTAACAAGCGAGAACTCCTCGATCTTTAAAAAGACGACCTGGAGTAACTGGCTCAGCAGCAACCCAACCTTCAATATAACCAAACAGTGTGAAGAGAAGAGCACCAACTACCAATAATACGATAATAACCGCACTATCCCAATCATATTTGTCACCACCCCAATTTAATGGAAGTAATATAGCAACGGAGGCAATGACTACAACCAAAGTTCCCCACCAATCAATTTTCTTCAATTTTTCCAAGAGTCCTCCTTTTGGCATTGGAAGTCGAAGAAAGAATACAACCGTGGCAATCGTGATTGCTCCGAATGGTAAATTAATATAGAAACACCATCTCCAAGTGACGTGATCAGTGAATGCACCGCCAAGCAAGGGTCCAGCTAAAGATGCGATACCGAATACTGCACCAATAAGTCCTTGATATTTACCGCTTTCTTCGAGCGGAACAAGATCCGCAATGATAATCATTGCCAAACTGAAAATACCACCACCACCAACACCGGCGATTGCACGAAATATAATCATAGAAATGATGTTTGGAGCAAGGCCACATAATAAACTTCCTATTTCAAAGACTACAATTGCAAAAAGAAATGTGGCTTTTCGTCCAAAAATATCCGAAATTTTACCGTAGACTGGTTGGAAAGCGGTCTGTTATTGCATGATTGAAAGTAAATTAATTATGTCATTTTTGGATTTTTGAGTGATAGAATAAAAAAGATAATTACCGCTGTCAAGAGATAGGCAGTCGCAACCCACGAAATTTGATTGAATGCATTAAAATCTGATGCAATTTTAGCTAAAGCCGTAGAAACGATTGTTTGATCAATAGCCGCCAAAAATACACCAAATGCAATACTAAAAAAATTGACAAATGAATAAATGTTTTCTTTAGATACTTGCAAATAATAAATTAACCTAATAATTACCCAAGCATCACTAGTTTGAATTCAGTTGGTGACAAATCAACACTATGTTCACCTCCTTGAGGTACATTTGAACCAGCGTCACTTCCGCTCTTTGCTTGTTTTTCGATATCTTGATCGGAAGTATTCACCTTTGCTTGTTTTTCGATATCTTGATCGGAAGTATTCACAACCGTGTTGCTTTCATCTGATATTGAGCTCTCAACTCTTATACCTGACAGTATCTTATCTGTAGATTGAGGTATCGTTAGTGTATCGTTTGTGGTCGACGACATTTTTTATGCTTATCTATGTGGATTCTTGATTATATGCGTGTTAAGTATAATGAATTTGATTATGCCCGTGTCAAATATAATGAATGTTGATTATATGCGTGTCAAATATGAAAAAATAACTTTTTTTGTGCGAGCTCTTGGAATTAAATCGAGATATCGATATTGACAAAAAAATCATAAACCGCTCCTTAAATATTTAACGCGTGTGATCTACTCGAGTAGCTTAACATTTAGCCGATTACGTATATCGAATTTTGCCGAAGGATATTCAATAAAACCATCTGGAAACTAACGGATTAAGGATTATAATACATGTACGTAGATATTTCTTGCACATGTATAATGGAAAATGAAAATGTGTTACATTAGCAGTGTTGTCACTTTACGTACAATGTCCAATAACCGGAAGTTATTGGATTGGACTTGTATGAGTTACATTGATTCAAAAATTAACGTTGATTTTAATTCGACAAACGTTAAAAATAAATATTTCAAATCGTATATCGATATATCGTATATCGATATATCGTAAATTACATATTAGTACATGTATTTACAAGAATAATTTATTTGATTTTTATCCGAAATAAATTTTTTCTATCAAAAAAAAAAACTTTATTTTTTACTCGCTAAACATAGTCACTTCTGCATCAGATTTCCGCTTCTTATTCTTTCCTATTGCCAAAGCACACAAGAAACACAAAATACCCATCGGTACCACAATTAGGAAGGCAGCGTCTAATGCTTTGACGTACGCGTGTATTACTTGGCTTTTTTGAGGTCGAGTTAGATCGAATTCATAGATAGATGTCGGAGATTTTTTGATTGCTTCAACGATGTGAATACCGAGATTTAGTGGATCGACTTTTTTGGCGAGTTCATTATTGAAAATTGTTCCGATTATTGCTACTCCGAATACAGCGCCGACTGAATAGAAAATTAATTTTGCATTGTAAATAAATTTTGAACATATAAAATTTATATGGAAAGAAATATCTTACTTAAACGGAAAAAGCTCAACATTGAAGTCACAGTCGCGATATCAAAGTAATCAACAGCTGATTGTCCAGATAATAAGGTAGTTTGCATAATTAAACCAACACCAAGACCAGTTATTAACAAGAAGCCAATTTGTTCTCCACGATTTGAATCTTCTGTCAAAATACTAACAAGCCCAGCACCAATAGTAATAAAAGCTGCACCCACAAGACATATCCATTGTTTTGAAAGTTCTTCATATCTTGACATGGCTTGACCAGAAAAGATAGATGCGAGTACAACACCCAAAACATAAGGTAATAACTCCAGTCCGGAAGCGGTAGCCGATTCATTTTTTACGACTTGGAAATATACCGGGACATAATAAATCATAGCAAAGAAAGACATCCCTTGGAAGAAGTTTACACCGAAACATGCAGCCACAGAACGAGTTTTGAATAGACGGCCGGGTGCAAGTGGTTCAACTGCTATCCAACCTTCAATATATCCAAAAAGAATATATAGTAGACTACCAACTATTAATAAAACAATAATAATTGGACTATCCCAATCATATTTATCGCCACCCCAACTTAATGGAAGCAAAAGAGCAACGGTAGCCAAGACAACAACTGAAATTCCCCACCAATCAATTCTTTTTAGTTTTTCTCTTAACCCTCCTTTAGGTTTAGGTAAACGTAATAAGAAAACAACAGAAATAATTGTAATGGCACCCAAAGGTAAATTTATAAAGAAACACCATCTCCAAGTAACGTGATCAGTGAATGCACCGCCAAGTAATGGACCAACTAATGATGAGATACCGTAACAACCACCGATAAGACCTTGGTATTTCCCACGTTCTTTGAGCGTTACTAAATCAGAAATTATTATCAAGACAAGACTAAAAATACCGCCAGCACCGATACCGGCGATTGCACGAAAGATGATCATTGATATAATCCCTGGCGCGAGACCACATAGTAGACTACCAAGTTCGAACGTAATAATTGAGAATAAAAATACGGCTTTTCTGCCGAAAATATCAGAAAATTTCCCATAGGTAGGTTGAAATGCAGTCTTTAAATATAAAAAAATCATTAGCGTATATTCGCAAATAATTAATATATATATATGATATAAAAAAAAGTACCGTAGTTAAAAGATATGACGTTGCAACCCAAGAAATTTGATTAAACGATTTAAAATCTGACGCGATTTTGGGTAATGCTGTAGCGACGATCGTTTGATCGAGAGCAGCCAAAAACATACCGAATCCAAGCCTAACAGATTTAAATTAATATATATATGTAACTATCGCTATATATTACTAAAATGCAATGCTAAATAAGCTTACCCAATCATGACCAGTGCGAATTCTGTCGGATTCAACTTTACTGCCACATGATCTTTATCGTCGTTATTATTTGGTCCTTTCTCAATATCAATTTGTTCTTTTTTTTCTATTGCAGTTTCTGTACTGCTTCCTTCCGATTTTTTTCTTTTTGATAAATTTTCTTTTTCTTCGACTACTTTTGCTGCAACATTTTCTACACTTTTCTTTTCCACTATAGGTGCCACAGGATCTACTATTATTGTTTCGGTTGTCGTCTCTTTGACATGGGTTTTTGGTATTTCCTCTTTAGTAATTGCTGGGGGTGTAATTTCCTCCTCGACTTCGGTAGTAGTAGTTGCTTCTACTGCAGGGGCTGCAATTTTCTCTTCAACTGTAGTAGAGACTACTGCTTCGATCGTTGTCTCTGTGTTTGATATTTCCTCTTTAGTAATTGCTGGGGATGTAATTTCCTCCTCGACCTCGGTAGTAGTAGTTGCTTCTACTACAGGGGCTGCAATTTTCTCTTCAACTGTAGTAGAGACTACTGCTTCGATCGTTGTCTCTTTGACATGTGTATTCAGTATTTCCTCTTTAGTAATTGCTGGAGGTGTAATTTTCTCCTCGAATTCGGTAGTAGGAGCTGCTGCAATTTTCTCTTCAATTTCATTAGAGACTACTGTTTCGATCGCTGTCTCTTTGATATGGGTTTTTGGTATTTCCTCTTTAGTGATTTTCTCTTCAACCGCAGTTACAGGGGTTTCGATTGTTGTATAAGTAGTAACTGTTTCTTCTACTGGAACTGGAACTGTGATCGTTGTGGTAGTGTAAGTGGTTATTGTCTCAGTTACTAATTCTTCTCCGGTGGGAGATTTGCTTACTCGTATGGTAGATTGTTGTTTCGTTTCGGTAGATTGTTGATTTTCGGTAGATTCCATTTTTCTAATGATTTACCGATCAGTTTTTTTTTAATGTCAGATCTCAAATCTCGGATCTTATTGTTAATTAGTTGTTTTGAGAAGAACGCGTATATTTTAGAATAACACGTTTCTAATTTTATCCGATTGAAATATAGGCTGTAAAACGTAAACGGCAAAGCGGAAAAAGAAATAAATTATATATAATAAAACAATAATTAATAACAAAATTCCAAGGAAACGGCATAAAATCAGTCCCGGCTAAATTTATGCCTTTTACTTGTAATACATGGTACACATGTATTTCTTTGGTAATTACTTATTTAATATGCATTACGATACGTGCACAACAAATGTAACATCGATTATTTGTGTAAAAGACAATTGGATTACAATATTGTTGTCCTTTCATTTTTGATTTAAATTCTACTGCCGAAGTTTTACCGAGCAAGACAAAAAGAATTACGAACATGTATTTGTTAGTCAAGTGGTTTCGTTATGACGATACGTAGTGTCATTGAAGTGATTTTTCACACATCCACATTTTTTTGTTTCTCGATTTGGGAAATGCATGTACACATCAAATTCTGATACCGGTAATTTCGGATAAACTATAAACTCCGTGAATCTAAGTGCACATTGTCCTGCATGCAATAAAAAATAGACAACGATAACGATCAACAATGCATTTAATTTTTCACAACTAGAATTTCTTAATTAATATTAATTAAAGGATATTAACAATCAAAATACCCTTTGTGATTAGTGTATCCCAGTAAAAATATCTTCATGCATTTAATTCGAAAGGCTAGAAACTTATTCTTGAAGATTGACAACAAAACTAAGTTTCTAAGTAAGTTTTTGAGATTTAACATAATTTCGACCATATGAATGCCTTATTACATCTCGAAAAAAGATCTTATAAATGCGTAGTAATATCCATTATATTCACAAACCTTTAATAATTTGAAAACAGACACGCCACATACACATAATGATAAAATAAAAAATAAATAGTATAATTGCAAGATTGATTAGTTTGAGCTAAATTGGGTTTAGTAAAAAATCTACAGTTAATTAATCATAATAAAAATAGCGATTTCAATTCCACTAAACAAAATAGCAGCAATAATGAAAATGGTGAACATGTACATTATCTAAAGGGTATGCAATTAGCTTTGGTTATGATCGGGTAAGTATATTACTGTTGCGGGTCGATAGAAGACAAATTTTACTTTATCGATTGGTTGGGTATGTTTTTGACTGTGTTCGATCGCGACAGCTATGCCTAAAATTTCAACGCGTTAAATCAAACAAGTTGAATAACGACTTCGTATCTCTTGACTACGGTAATTATCTAATTTAAAATCAAGAACAATAAATTTAGACTTCTTTTCAACAAGTTTATGACAAACTTTCAGTCTTTGTAATTCCGGTCTTTGAATTAGGGAGTTTATTGTGGTCTCGCAGCAAATCTTATAACCATAATATCCCGGTATTATTATTTCGGATATAGTGCCACTTGAAGACCATAGCAAATATCAGGGTCCTATAGGTGCTGTCTTTTAGGTGCTGTCTTTGGTGTCGCGTCACTTTTGGACCTCTTTTGGGTGGGTATTTACAGATTATGTTTATTAATTGATCAGTTCGCCAAAAGGAGGATTCGTGAAAAAAATTATAAAGAATAGACTAGTGGGAACTGGAATTTTTGTTGCTACCGCACTTTTCACTTCTACATCCATTAAATTTTGGGGGGGGGGGGGGGTGGAGAACAATACATGTGGAATAACATAATTTGTCTTTAATGGCTAGCGGTCTCTTATTTATTGTATTTGGGTTTATCGAAACTTTCGTTCTGTGGCACCGCCACGTCTTTTAGAATCGAGCAATCTAAACTTGTTTTGGAGTGAATTTTTTCCAAGGAAGGCATTTTAAAATTAATTTATTATATACCACCAAGCGATTTCGAAATTCTGATCTTCGAAAACGATGGATTGCGATTATAGGTGCAATTTTATCTGGTATAAGCGCGGGAATTGTTGACGGCGGCGGATTTGAATTGTAGCGAACAGATTGGATATTTGTTTATTCCGAGCCTTGGAATCAAATTCCTTTATTACATTCACAAGCAGCTGTTACCTTTATATTAAACTTCGTAAGTTTTTAATTATTATTAAAATTACAGATATAAACAGGATTTTTTTATAATTAAATAGTGAGGGGGGGGGGGGGGGGGGGGGGGGTTTTGGGTTTACTACAACTTACTGGAACCAACTTCGGTTTGAAAAACTGTATAAAAATATACTTGACACATTCGACAC